ACACCCCACAGCCACAGGTCCGGGTCTCTGCCCCCCTTCCTCTGTCCTTCCCCCAGGGTGCGCGGGCTTTCTCTGGCGTCGTCTCCTCGGGCGCTGGACCGGGGGTGTGGACGCCGCTGCCCCGCCCCCGGGAACCACGCCTCCCTCCTGTCGGAGGGACAGCGCCTCCCCGGGTTGGGGAAACTGAGGAAGCGGCGTGAAGACTGGGAGATGGGACGCTGGGGGAACTGCCCCCCTTCCTCTGTCCTTCCCCCAGGGTGCGCGGGCTTTCTCTGGCGTCGTCTCCTCGGGCGCTGGACCGGGGGTGTGGACGCCGCTGCCCCGCCCCCGGGAACCACGCCTCCCTCCTGTCGGAGGGACAGCGCCTCCCCGGGTTGGGGAAACTGAGGAAGCGGCGTGAAGACTGGGAGATGGGACGCTGGGGGAACCGGACAAGAATGGGGTGAGGGGCCCGGAGCCTTGGCTTCGGAGAGCAGGAGACCTTTGTCTCTGACCGGTTTCCTTCCCGACCAGGGTTGCCCACTCCCACCACAATGGCCTCTGGGGTGGAAGTCCTGCGCTTCCAGCTGCCCGGCCACGAGGCCGCCACGCTGCGCAACATGAACCAACTCCGCGCGGAGGAGCGGTTCTGCGACGTGACCATCGTGGCCGACAGCCTCAAGTTCCGCGGCCACAAGGTCATCCTGGCCGCCTGCTCCCCGTTCCTGCGGGACCAGTTCCTGCTGAACCCCAGCTCCGAGCTGCAGGTCTCCCTGATGCACAGCGCGCGCATCGTGGCCGACCTGCTCCTCTCCTGCTACACCGGAGCCCTGGAGTTCGCCGTCAGGGACATCGTCAACTACCTGACGGCCGCGTCCTACCTGCAGATGGAGCACGTGGTGGAGAAGTGCCGCAACGCGCTCAGCCAGTTCATCGAGCCCAAGATAGGCCTCAAGGAGGACGGGGTTGGCGAGGCCGGCCTCGTGAGCAGCGTCGGCGCCACCAAGTCCCTGCTCCCTCCGGCCAGGA